GGCAGCGGCTTCGACCGGGGCCACTTGGCTGCTGCCGCCAACCACAAGTGCAGCCAGAAAGCCATGCGGGACACGTTCTACCTCAGCAACATCGCCCCGCAGGTAGGAACCCCCGCAGGGCCAAGGGCAGGCGCTGATCCCGGCTGGAAAACGCCTCTTCCTTGTTTGTCCCTCTAGTGCAGGGCCCGAGGTCACTCGGGGGTGCTGGGTTTCCTGCTAAGCCTGAGAATAGCGATCCTGAGAACACCCCCGTGTGATCCCCTCCAGCTGTGAGAGGTGCTGCTCAGCACAGCTCCTTGCGGGAGAAAAACTGAGCAGGTGGGCAGATTCTGGCACAAACTGTGGTCTGAGGCAAGTGGTTTCTGTTCCTGGCTGTGCAAACCAGGACCTTGCCGTACACAGTGTCCAGAGCAGAGGCAATAGTGGAGATCTCTGTGCTTGGAATGCTATGGGTGTGTTACAGAAAAGGCAGGTGGACTCTGAGATTCCCCACTGACTTTGCTGCCTGTGACTCCTTGGTTGTGTTTCTAGGATCCCCATTTAAACCAGCATGCCTGGAATAACCTTGAGAAGTACAGCAGAAGTTTGGCAAAGAATAACAAGAATGTCTATGTCTGCACAGGACCCCTTTACCTGCCCAGGTAAACAGGAGGGCTGGGCTGGGACTGTCCTGCCTGGTGCTGGGCAAGGGAAGGGGGCTGAGGGGCCCAACTGCTCCATAGGTGAGCCCAGCTGTGCAGTGAGGCTCTGGGGAAAGGCACTGCCCAAGGACTGGGATTAGCTTGTGTGTTTCCCATTCAGCTGGTTATTCTGTGAGTAAAGGGTTTCTTGAGCTACAACATAACTGAGCAATTTTTGTTCCCAGTTTTTTGCAATGAAGTAGATTACTGGATGACACTGTAGACCCCTTCCCTGTAGAATAAAGCTCTTCAATTTTATTTCATAGACTATCTCTCCACTTAAGAGCATGACTTGATTTGCAAAGAGCTTGAGGTGGTGCTGAAGAGCAGCTGTCTCATGTTGAGACTTCTTCAGCAGCAGGAAATAGCTTGGAAAGAGACAGCAGGGAAGGGATGTGGGGGGAGCACACCTGACAGCTCCCAGTGCCACCCAGCCTGTTTCAGCCATGTTTCTGCACTCCTGCTGCATGAGCAGAGCTGTAGGGTGGGGGCTTTCCTGGGGGGCTGGTGGAGAGCTGAGGGGGTGGATGTGGTACCAGGCCAGGAGGTAACGTGGGATGTTGCTGTTTGGGGCAGGATGGAGGCCGACGGGAAGATGTATGTCAAGTACCAGGTCATTGGGAAGAACAACGTGGCCGTGCCCACCCATTTCTTCAAGGTGCTCATCCTGGAGAAGGAGAGTGGGGAGATAGAGCTGCGCTCTTACGTGATGCCCAACAGCCCCGTGGATGAGAAGATCCCCCTGGAACGGTTCCTGGTTCCCATTGAGAGCATTGAGCGAGCCTCGGGGCTCCTCTTTGTCCCAAACATCTTGAAGAGAACAAGTAACTTGAAAGCCATCACAGCTGGAACCAAGCGCTGAACCTCCACTGATCAACTCCAGGTATCCCCTGGGAAGGGACTCACAGCAGTTGTCCACAGAATAGTAAGTTCCTTGTGCCATATAAAATGTGGGAAATAAGAACACAATGCTTCTTTTTACCTTTCTCCTCATTTCGTGTAAGGGTGACTGCAGATGCAGGAGGTTCCTGGGCACTTCCCACCATTGCAGGTCTTTAGTCTGCAGCACAGGATGTACTCCTGCCATTGCTCCCTTGGAGGCATCTGTGGCTCCTTCAGATACCAAGGGAAGTTCCTTAATTTCTCTTTAGCAGGGAAGGATGGGAGCAAGATGGGTGTGGGGGAGGAGAGCAGAGCTTCCTGCCTTTCTGTAGCCAAAGGATTGTTTGTTCTCTTTCAGAAGATGGTTTTAGCAGTAAAGCTTTGAAACCCCAAAGTATTGGTTGTTTCTTATCTGCTCTTACCAAAGCCCTGAATATCTCAGCAGGAGGGAGGAGGACAGAGCCAATTTTTCCAGCTGTTTTCCTGTCTGAGCTCACTGCAGGCAGAGCTTAAGGCATTGTAGATGGAGCCAAACTGCTTTAGCTCTGAGGCCCAACTGAAGCTCCAGCTCTTTCTGCTGTTGGGAAGGATGAAGCCTTGAAGAGGGAGTCAAGCTAATGGAGACAGGAACAGCTTCTTGGCATAAGGATTAAATGTTGACTTCCTTCAAGTCTGAAGTCACATGGCTACACTCCAGAGGTCCTGAGCATGTAGGATCTCTGGACACCAAGTGCCCATCCTCTACACCAAGACACGCAGACTTCCAAGGCAGCTGAGGTTCCACACTGCTTTATTTCCCACCCCAGACATCTGAATTGCTGAGACCCAACCTGCTGCCAGGCTGGTCCCAGCTGAGGGGCAGCACCCAGCCCTGGGCTGGACCATGCGGGCAGGAGGGTGCAGAACATGCTGCTCCCAGCACTGCCAGCTTGAGTCAGGCTGTGCCTTGGCCCTGCTAGGCTCTCACAGCCATTTATTTGTCCAGCTGTGTCCCTCAGGCACCTGCAGCTGGTGGCCAGTCAGGGGTTTTCCTTCCCACAGGTGTCACTGGGTGTCACAGCCTTGTTGATGTGGGGTCTCAGTGCAGAGAGTGAGATCAGCAGCGCTTCCTGTAACGACCCAGGTGACAGCTGGAAGCCCTGGTCCCTCAGGAGCACTGGGCAAGCCAGCTGCTCTTTGCTGAGGTGACACGTGGGCCGTGTCTGTCCCTGCCCACCTGCCCTACCTCTGTCCGGATGGTTCGGCTGCCTTGGCTGGGACAGGTGTTCAGGTAGAAGTCAAACAGGAGGCTTGGGTCGGTGACCTCCAGGTTTGGGTCCACATCAAGCCCAGCTTCCAGGCCCTCAAGCCCTCCAAAGACAACCAGGGCGTGCCTAGGGCAGAGCACAGGGACCAGGTGAGAGGGAGACCAGCTCTTACCCCTGGACCAAGGCAGGTGCTACAAGCTTTGCAAAGCACATCATGTGCCTGGAACCTTCAAGCAGATTAAGAATTGACTTCACACAGACACTTCTCTTAACTGCAAGAGCAGCCTCATTTCTTTTGTTCAGGTATCTGGGTCTGTGTTCAGGCTCCTCTCTGCCATGGAGGCAGGGAGCTGTGTCCCTTGCTGGCAGTGCTCAGTGCAGCCCCTGCCCTAACCAAGCCCCACAGCACTTGGCCAACGGGACAGTCCCTGCTATCAACTCTAGAAACCAGGAAAGGAATTGGCCTTGTCCTGGGGTACTTCCCCCACCTTCTGTGATGCAGCAGAATGTGCCTTGGTGTAAAAGGGAGCAGCAGAGCACAGGAGGGAGCCTGCAGGTGAGCCTTGCTCTTGTACCTAGGGGCATTCTTGCCCAGGAGAGCCCCAAGGGAACAGTGCAGCTCTGCTGCCTGCACCAGGCCTCTCTGGGAGCTCTGAGGGGTCCAAGCAGGCAGGACACCAACCTGAAGGAGGGGAGAGTGGCCTGGTCCACGGAGCTGCCTCGCTCTGAGGTTCCAATGGAGAGATCGTAGCCTTCCTGGAAGGGGCACTCGGAAAACACAGCACCTGGGAAACAAACAACATGGGATTGCTCATTTGGTCCCCTCACCACTGCTAGATGCCTTCTGGACAGGCTGGAATATTCCCACAGGTAAGTGGTAGCAGTAGAAAGAATTGGTTTTCAGTGCCACTAGTGCATCAGAAGAATGATTCATCTTTCCTACATGAGTTGGTTGCTGCAGGAGTGCCTGGCACCCTTCTCAACTGCAGCAGCTTTTCCTCAAAGAGGTGCCAGGAGCCATTCCGTGACAATAGCCAAGGATTCCCCTAGGTGAAACTGGGAGACAGAGAAAGGATTTTACAGGGCTCTTGTGCTCAAATGTCACTGCTGGCTTTGAGGTGACCGAGTAGGAGGTTGTTATCATGGAGAGCACCAACTCTTATGTCCTGCTACAGGTGGACATGTGGTGGAAGAGTGAGTGGAAGCAGCGGGCAGAGTCCTGGTGGGTGACTGGGTGTTCATGTCCCTGCCTTAGCCCTTTGATCTGATTGTTGCACAGCTGCTCCCTGTGTGAGCTGCCTTTGAAACGAGAGGTTTCTGGATGTTACTGTGTGCTGCAGAGGTGCAGCCAGGAGGCCTGAGGTTGGTGTGGAAGCCCTGGCAGAGAAGCCCTGCAGACACCTACTGAGGCAGGAGGCGAGGCGGACGCTGTAACCCCAGTACCAGCCCGACACGGTCCGGGGGTGATGTGAGGACACCACGGTGCCCTTCCGCACTTTGGCTTCTGAAAGGGAAGCAAAGAGAAACAACCCCTGAGAGCTGGGTTTGACCAGCCACATTCTGCAGTTTCTCCTGGGGTAGGGCACTGCCTTGGTGCACAACCAAGAACTGCCCTTTAGAGAACGTTCTAGAAAGCTTGCAAGTATGTTTGGGCTGTTCCTTGGTCAGAGAGCTGACAGTTCTTTCCAGTTAACTGGGGAGCGTGGTGGGAGTGTATGAGGATTGTGTGTGGAGTGAAAGAAACATGCAGGGATGTTGGGCACCTACAAACATTAGTGATTTGGAAGATCCAGCTCCTGCAGGACTGGAGTTTAGGGGTGCTGTTGGAGCAGTGGGTTACCTGGTTTCTGGGGCTCCTTTAGGCGCACGGTGACTCGCAGCCCAGGGTTCAGCTGCCTGTCAATCTGTACCTCCTGCAGGGACAGTCACCATCAGTGTCACGTTCTGGAAGTACTGAGGAAGGTGGGGAGGAAGGGAACCCTCTGAGGAAGTGGGGGTCTGTTTTGGGCTGGAGCTGGAATGAGGAGCTCTGCAGTCAGGGCCTGTGTGGTGCAGGCAGTGCAGAGCAGGCTCAGGGTGGCTGGGTCAGCAGCCTGAGATTTATTTTGCTGCTCAGAGGTTCAACTCCAGCAGTGAAGCAATGATGTGTTGGAATGGGCGGGCCCACCAGGACTGGGAAGCTACAGCCACTAACGAGCCAGAAAGGACACGACAGCAACAGCACAGAACTGCATGCCAGCCTGCCATGGCTTTCAGAAACCCAGCAGTACCCACCCTGCCTGCTTCAAACCTGCCAGACAGAGGGGATTGTTTTGGGATCTGCACGTTCCAGACAGACATACCTTCCTCATCCCACAGTTGACAAAAGAGCCTCTGCCTGGCTTAGTTGGCCGGTCCAACACGACACCTTCCCGGTACTCAGACTCCTCATCCACACGCATGTGGTGGGGACTGTCCAGGGGGTTGAGGAGCCCTGGAACAGCAGAGAGGAAAGCAACTGCTGAAGAGAGGATACAGACTGTGGGAACACAGCTCTTAGTACAGCTGCTCTGCTGCTCCTTTCCTCTCTGGCCCAGCACACCACAGCACCTCACCTGCACTGAACGAATCCAAGCCTCAATTCTAGCCCTGTATTGACTCAAAGGAGCTTCTTCAAGTCCCTGATCTGCCTCATGTAGTTTGTATCCTGCATTCCCTGCTGTTCTTCCAGTTAAACTCCTGAACCAGACATGTAATAATCAGATCCTGCATAATTGTGCAGGAGTTTGGCTCCTGCTCCCATAGCCTGTGCCATGCACTGCCCATGGGGGTCAGTCCTGATGCTCAGTGTGACCATGGTGCACTTACTGAGGGCACTCCAGGTACTGCAGGATCCGAGCCAGCTGCACACATGCTTTGCCTTTCTTCCCAATTCCTTCAAAGTCCCCCTCCACAGTCCTGAAAGAGAAAGAAAGCAGCTTGTCAGCTCAGCATGAGACTGCACAGCCCCAAAGGGCCAGGTCTTCAGAAGACCAAGCTCCTTGCTCCTTAATCTGAAAATAGCAGCACATCCTCCCTCCACCCCCAGGAAATAAATGGGCCACCTTGCAAAAGGGCTCCTCCAGAGGTAGAGACTTAAGTCATAACTGGAATTCTCCATAAGCTAAATACCTTTTCCAGTTTGTTTGTTTGTTTTTTTAATATTTGTGTGTCTGTTCTATTGATACAGCCTGGCAGTTGGATGCTACAGGGCTGCATGGCTTGGCCAGTTAACTTGGATGCAGATCCAGGTGAAATGCTGAAGGAACAGGAATTCATCTTCCATAAGGATACAGGCACAACCCATCCCTCTACAGCAAGATTTAAGAGAACAGGATGATGAGACCTCCTACTGCTTCTTCATCCTCATGCTGGGGGATGATCCCAGTTGCCAGGGCAGTTAACATCTTTGCCCAGTGCTATGGGGGTTCCCTGCATTCCTGGCATTTGAGGGAGGCTCAAGCACCTGCTTGAGAACACACGGTTCCTTCCCAGTCTCAGCTTAGTAAAGGACAGAAGAAAGAGCAAGCAGAGAGGAAACGCCTTCTGCAGATGGAGATGGCTCCTCCTTACTTTGCACCTTCTCCAAGCTCATCAAACACCACGATCTCATCCACACAGAAGATGGCACAGGCCCTGGCAATCTGCCCAGCCAGGTAGGTCCTCAGCTCCGGCGACTGGGCGTTGTTGAGGATGGAGCCCGGCAGGGCCACGCTCAGCGCGTAGGGACGCCCTGGGGACAGAGGGAGAGGACACAGACACCCTGTGACAGGGGCACGTACAGCATTTGTACTGCTGCAGTTATAGCTGTGGTAGGACAGAACCAGTTTTCTTTTTAGGAGTTTCTTTTCAGCCTCTGGAGGTGACTCGTGTGGGCTGCAAAGGGCAGGGGTCCCGTGAAGGAAGAAATGCATTTAAAAATGTTTGTGCCTCTTGTTCCAGTAGGAAATTCCTAAAAAGAAAATTGCCAGAAAAGCTGAGGAGGAACTTTGGATGACGACAGGAAGTGATGGGACAAGAGGGAATGGCTTTAAACTGGAACTGGGGAGACTGAGGTGGGACATGAGAAAATTCTGCCCTGTGAGGGTGGTGAGAGCCTGGCCCAGGTTGCCCGTTGGATGGGGCTTGGAGCAACCTGGGCTGGTGGGAGGTGTCCCTGCCCATGCAGGGGGGTTGGAACTAGATGAGCTTTAAGGTCCCTTCAAACTCAAACTATTCTATGATTCTATCCCAGCTCAAGCCAGGACATAAGGGAAAAACCAAACCTCTGTTTCTTAGATTTTAACCACTAGTTTTATCACAATAAGGTCTCTTGTGCAGCGCTGTGTTGATGCCTGTGGACTGGTCTGTACCAGAGCTCTGAAGCTGAGCAGCACCCTTCCTATGGACATGTAAAATGCTTAAGTTTTACCTTCTCTCTTGACTTTTAAGACCAAGTTCTCCTGGCTCTTTCAACCCAGGCCTCCCCACCGTGTCACAGCGGCCTCACCTTTGTCTTCCTTCTGCTCCTCCTGCTTCTCTGCCTGTTTTTCCGCCAGCTCCCGCATCCGCTGCTTCTCCAGTTTCTTCAGGAGCTTCATTTCCTTCCATTTTTTCTTCTCGGCTTTCCCTGGAACGCAGACACCGCCTCGCTCTGAGCACCGGGCCCACTGAGGTGCGGGGGATGCGCAGGGACACGGGGAGCTCAGGGGGGGCTCCCCCCGGTCCCACGGCCCTGACGGGGCCCCCCCCAGTTTCCCGGCCCTGGGGGGTGAATG